CCCCCTCCCTCTAGCTGTCAGTAGCTGATCTGGTCCTGAGATGATGATGTGATTATCTGTGATGCTACAGTGACGGGTGAATAAAGCTGTCATACCAAAGCATTGGCAAATTCCTAGACAGGAGCTAGTTCACCCACAGAAACACGAGACAGCAATGTAAAAAGATAGGACTAACAGACTGCTGTGAGCAGCTTTATAGGGCCTTTATCAGGAAAAAAGGCAATCAGCAATTTAGGGAAGGTTTTTTTCCTTTGTTTAAATGTTACTTAGTTATAGGGAAAGGAAGAAAGTGGAGACGTTTGAAATATAAATGAGAAACAAAACCATAATTGACTAAAGTGTAAGCTGGTTTGTTTTTTTAATTAAAGGATTTGTTTTTTAATTTACACTTGTTAGTACTTCACCTGATGAAGAAGAAGGATACAGCCGTGTTGGGATAGTCTGGAGGTTTTTAGTACAGTCCATCCAGCTATGTCATTTGGATGAGCGTCAGTGCAAGTTGTGAGATGTGGCTTGTGTGTAATAGGTATACTTCTAAACGACGAGTGTATAATTTTGAAATTCTCTTATTCGGATGACTGGTTTCCAGTGTTTATAAACACTGTAGGAAACACCACTTACGTGGCCCGTGTGTTAAAACGCGTGGAAGGCTCATTTCTGCATTCTGCATTAACTTGTAGCCTGGCTGATTTCATCTGCTCTGTCATATGACGTGGTTGCTCGTGTTGCTAGTGCATGTGCCCGTCCTGTCTTGCCTTCTCTTTGTCTGTCTGTCTGTCCTGCAGTTTTTGTCTGTGTGTGTCTATTTGTAGATGAAGGGGCGGAGGATAAGGTGGGACCGCTACACCACTGCCCAGGCTGTGGGCCTGCTGCCAGCAGGGAGTGGCGTAAGCACCTGGCCCCCTCCATTTCAGTGTCTGTGCCTGATGATGAGCCCTACAATTCGGATGAGGAGTACTATGAACACCCTTTGTTCAGCTCGGAGTGGACTGGCTCTAGTACACGTCCCAGTGCCACAGTGAAGAGCGCAGAGGTCTTGTTGGGCCATGATGAAGGTGAACTGAGCATGGTCCCATTTTGCTCCTCTTCCCCTCTTCCCGGCCACATGCCATCCATTCCATTATATATGTGCCTGGGGGTGCTGCTTTCTGGGGAGGGACCTAGTTGTTTTTTCTCCCCACATGGAAGTGACATCCCTGCAGAATCTCTCCACCTCAAAGTGAAGCTGCAGCGTTGAACGGTGAATGCCACTCCGGGGTCAGGGAATGCAAAGTCCCTGCTTAAATCGGGGCTTTTGGTGTACTGGTCTGCTATATAACAGAAGCAAAAGGAGCAGCTGGTCAAAAGAAGCATAAGCTAGTTCTGGTCTTTCTGTCAGAGAATCACTGCCAAAAACAGTGTGCAGGATAGGCCAAAAGGCTGTTACTGGAGCTAAGTCAGATGTTAGCACAATGGAAACAATCTCACGTCCACACCAAAGACAGCAGTGGAGGGTGATTAATTCTCCAGTAAGCAAAGGAAATCAAAACTTTCCCCAGTATACACTAGTGAATTCAAGCAGTACTGGGTCACGTTTGCTCTCCAGTTCTTACGTGGATACGCCCAGCTAACACTGTGTCAGCTGGCTGCAAACAAGGCAGACGTTTTAAAAAGTTTATTGTTACAGTGGTTCTTTTCCCCTCTTTCTGTGGCCCCAGTGCATCAATAAGTATGTGGCTGTATGATTTCATCAGTGCAGGTTGCATAAGAGTCAAATGGGTTTTGAGGAGTCAAGGGAGACCGTACTACAGAGACTAAAAAGTAGTTCTGCCTTCTTATCCAAGGCAGAACAGCTCATGTTTCATCTCGCAGCATTTGACTAACTCAATCTTGAGACACAGGAGGTAAAGTTAAAAGCATTACAGAATTCTCTTGAGATTCGTGTCTCAGGAAAATAGAGGTGTATGCCTGACATTACTCAGTGGGTCATTTCAAGAAAACCAAAAATGTCCAGAGTCAGCTGAGTCTGTTCAATGTAAAAGGTATCATTTGGGAAAAGGTAGCATGATACTGTGGCAACACTGACTTCTTGGTCAGCGCTAATAACTGAACGTTGTTAACGTCAGGACGTGTACCTGAAGCTAAGGGAGACAAGATCAGAGGAGTAGCTCTACTATAACTGGGTGCCCACTTGCAAGCTGTACTTGCAACACTCCTGGGTTGGTTTAGTCATGAGCAGCATCCTTGTCAGTCATATGCATTTACCTCTAGTGGAAGTGGAAGATCCCAGAGCAGCATCTTTGAGGAAGAAACAGGGGAAAAGCTGACTCATCAATGAAAAGGTAGGGCGTTATGAAACACCCCTCCTCACCCGCTGCCTGGGAGTGCGCAGTCTGTTTGGCATAAAAAAAAACCTAGCGCACAAAGGGATCATCTGCAAGATTCCTTCATTAACTCATGGATAACTTGCTGGCATAGCTTGGGAAAACAGGATATGACTGTGTCTGTAAGATCAAATGGATGTTTTTTCAGGAGAAAAATCATTAGATTATTGAATATTTAATCTTAAGATGAGGCAGAACTAGGACAAGATGTATAGGAACGTGAGAAGGATGTCCAGCTGAGAGCGACAGTCTGTTTAGGCATTTAGTTGACACTGGCCAGCAGTGGATGCTTAGAGAAAAATATAAGAAGAATGAAGTCATATAATGATGCTTTCCCCAAGTACGCTCTCAGACTCCAATTTGCAGCTTGGAGGTGATGTTTTTTTGTAGTTAACAGCCCTGAAGAGGTTTTTGCAGTTTTGCTCTGAGCCCATGCAAACTTTCAATATCCATAGCAGTGTGTGTCTGTATATGTGTACCTTTTTGCCTCTGTAGATATGTTTGCTTATCCATTCAAGGAAACATTTTTTGGAAGCTGTAGCCAGGCCTTTTACAGCTGCTGTAATGAAGTCTACTTCATGCCAGTTCTTTTTCCGTGTTTCTTTTCTTTTTTAATGTCTGCATACTTGACGTGTTTATTTGATGAGCTGTAATAATTCTGAGAGAACCACTATGTTCTGTTTGTATTAATATTCAGGTTGGGTTCAATCTCCCCTGATTTTAACCATCTCAGAGCTAGGCGTCTAGTCTGGCTGAGTAGCTGGGCCCCTCCACAAGTCAATGAGTAGAGACAGGCTGCAGAGGAAGATTCATGCCTTGCTAAGACAGGTATCTCGCACAGATTAGATAATTTGCCCTCTGGAGGTCTTTTCTCCACTGCCCTAGAGGGAGCCTAGAGAATGCTTCACGCTGGATGCCTGTGCTTTAGACATTTCAAGCTAGGTATGTACTGCATTTATCAAATGAAAAGTTTTGAAGGGGAATTACTGCTTTGGTGAGCAATTAATTTTGATCACATGACTTTGTGCGAAGCAATTCTTCCTTAAAAACGGGGTAAAATTTGAGACTTTTCTTATATTTTTAATTGAAAAGGATATACATACAAAAGAATGTATGACCGGAAAAAGGAAAGTGAAGCAAGTTGTTCAAGTAAGAGCTTCTTAGGGCTGGACACCTGCCATTCTGCTAGGCTGCTTTTACACCCGTGCTTAAATATCCCTGTAACGCTCACGCATCAGTCCAGTTCTGATTCGGAAATCTTCTGCCTTCTGTACATTTAAGATATAGTGTCTAACATTAATTTCATTTTTACATTTTTATTAATAATGTTGTACTTTCCATAATGTTATTTTCTCTGCCTCTAATATAGTATTTGTGTTCCTCAGATCACTTTTTAAAGGCCGTAGCTGAAGTAGGTAGTTGTATGGCTGTTTTTAACCAGGCCAATCTCAGCAGAAAAATCAAGCTCATGTAAAGAGGTTTAACTTTAATACAATGAGGCCGGAAACAGCCACTTCCAGATTCAAAACCACTTTGTTCTAAGCCTGATTCAGCAAAGTCCTTAAACATGGGGCATACTTTAAGCCCGGAGAGGTCATCAGGTTGATTTCAGCATGGCTGCTGGTCAGCTGCTTAAGTATTTTGCTGAATCAAAGCTTTCAGGCTTAAATCCTGGTTTTCTGTAAGAGGGGATGCCAATAGAGCAAAGCAGTATTTTTCCTTGAGCAGCAATTGCAGGAGTTCAGTCCGTAATGAAGACTTCGCTAATCATTCTCCTGCCATGGCAAGAGCAGAATAGAAACCACTCTTGATATTAATATACTGATCCTAGCAGCCCATAGGCTAAGTGATATATTTTAGAGATTCAGATGAAGGGACATTGCACTCAAGGGTTTCTTTGACCTAACTGGTGGTGGGAAGCCTGGGGGCTGGTGGGGAGGGAGAAGTGAAAATGAAGAATCCTTGTGTTAAATCTGTGATTTTCACATATAGAGTTCAAACATCAGGAAGCCTAAGGGAGAAAGGGTTTATAAACCCGCTCTGTAGGAATCTTGGCAGAATTCTTGGGAAACAATTAGTGATCAGCTATGGGCAAGATTTATTAAGACTGTGGAAGCGGCTGAATATTTTGCCAAATCCCAGACCCATATGTATTGACTCACTGGCATTTAGCAGTTGAGTAGTCAAGGTCAGTGAAATGAAGTTTATGCCTCATACCTTCCCTCACACCAATTGAATGTTCTGTGGTGGATAAAACAGCATATTTATCAGAAAAAAATCAGTATACTTTCTGAACACATTGATGTATTGGTGTTGTCAGAGCCATCCATCATCCAACACCATCTCCATTTGCAATGAATATTTGACCCACAGTCATCCTTGGGAGAGGTAAACCTGTAAAGCACTTTCAGCTCTCATCTTGCAACATAAATATGCTCTGGGGGAGAAAGTGTGTTTTTCCCCTAAGGAAGATTCAGTTCCACAATGATTAAAGTGGGCTGAATCCTAGCAATCCTTTGACATGCTCAGCTCTTACGTGTTCAGAGCTGAAAGTGTTATGTAAAAGCATTTCTGTTGAGCTTTGTGTTTTATGTGTACTGTTGGTGTTGATGTCATCTCCTTTTTCCATCCCCGAAGAAGAAGAAGCAGTAGAGAGTCCGATGGCCGTGGAAGCAAAACCTGCTGCTCTTCCTGGGAAGCAACTGGGGAGAGAGCACGGGCTTGTTGAGCCTGCAGACCAGGCAAAGGGCCTCAGCGAGGGTCAGCCGGATTCTGGTTTGGAGGCCAAAGTGTGTTGCGAAGACAAAGTGCCAAGTGTGGCATCCAGCAGGGAGAGCGTAACAGTTGTGGTGGAAACGCCCCCAAAAGACACATCTCCTTCCTTGGCTGAGGAAGGTGTGTCCTCCTTAGGATTGCATGTGTTTGCTGCCAATGAATTCTCCTCCAGCTTTCTCCAGTGCTTTCCAAGGCTGCTTCATTTCCTGTTCTTCCCATTTATTAGTATGACTGCTCTTGTTATTATGCTTGAAGAGTGTGTAGCAGATAATTTGATTGCATAGGTGCTGTATGACAACATGGTTTCCCACCACTGCAGCTGATTCCTGATTTTTACTTTGCCATGATACAATATGCTTTGCAGCTAAGCTGATACCTCTGCGTAAGCCTTTTTCCCCCATCTCAGATGTGTTTGCCAGTCACATTGCTAAATGTATATTTTTTTTCTTTTTGGTGCAGAGATTCATCTGCTTTTCTTTCAAAAAGTAGATTTATTGACTTTGACTATGACATAAAGAGGCTTAAACGGTAGAAATGTTTTCATTTGCAGTGTGCAGTATTTTTATGCTTCAGTGCATTCTGAGTTAGCTTCCCTAAAGCTATTGCTTCTTATGTCATAATCCTTGCCGTTCATTGCATCCACCCGCTCTCTCCTTGGTCATTGCCAGAACTCTGATTTTTTTGTGTGTTTTACTGTATTACAAATGTTTAGCCCTGCTAGAGTTACCCGCTCAGGCAAAATGCCCATCACTTCAACTGGGATATCTGCCTTCATCGTGAAGTTCAGGATTGGGCGCACAGGGAGAAGTTCTGATGTGCCTTACTCAGGCAAAATATTTACTGCAATCATTTGTTTTCCATAAATAAGAACTAGGAAAGGGCTTCAGGACTGTCCTTCTAATGGTATTTCTCTTCAGTCAGGGTTGAAGACAGGATGCAGAGACATATTGTACAGGGCCGTGATGTACCCATTCACTACCTGGCTAAGAAACACTGCTTTGGGGAGCCTGGTATTCTGGCCCCGCTGAGGAAGGTGAAAGTACTTCGGCAGTCAGGATATCTTTTGATGCCACTGTTATCGTTCATTGGCACTACAGTAAGATGAGTCTAGATAGTTAATTTTGTGAAACTGTGATGACATCAGCTCATTGGCCATGTTTTTGTACATTTTACAGTTTGCAAGTAAGTCGCCAAACTTAGAAACGTGAAGGAGTAAAATTACTGTAGTTATAGATGATTTGTTTTTGCCTGCAGTGTTTAGAGCACAGTACCTTTTTTGAATAAATGTTAACATATGCAAATATTTTAAAGAATGGCCAATACTTGGAGACTAATTGTTCTAAAAAATTTATGGGCATCAGAGTCACAGTATGGCTCCATGGACTTTAAATCAAATAATTGATACGAGGAGATTCAGATTTGGCCCAGTGTTTGTTATGACAAGTTTTAGAAAAACTCATAGAACATTTTTCAAGAGATCACTTCAGAAAGGTCTACCACGCTCTGCAGTTTAAGTCTTCATATTTTTCATAGGATATTTTTCATAGGACAGAACATGCTGTTAATAATTTTTTTTATACATGCTCTGTTAACTAACCAGGTATTACTCCCTAACAATATGTGGCAGACTGTGAGAGTAGCATTTTTAGTTTTCAAATAACCTAGGGCCTGATCTGTAGTCATTGCAACACACCCAGTGTTCTTTGACTTCAGTTACAGCTGAGGGTGGCTGACTGTTTTGAAGACCAGGTCTCCAAGACTGGAGATTGTTAATAGCTGCACTGATGACTTACGCGTGCCAGTTTCATGACAGCAATGAGATTTTTGCCATTTGCCAAAGAGTACCTGTGAAAAGTTGGTACGGTCAAAAAGGTGGTCTCTTCTTGTATGTATTATTTCTTTAGTTTAGGCCACGTGTAGAAGAAAAATCTGATGTAAAAAAAGATGAACGTATAAACGTGCATGTTCTAAATGTTAGCAACACACGACGACGCTGTTTACTGGAACTAATCTTGCAGACCTCACTAAAGGGAAACTAACGTAGACTTCATAGTCCAGCAAAGCATGCCAATGAAGTGAGGGTTAGGTGTGGTTTTACGGTTGAATACGAACTATGAAGATGAAGTCATATAAAGTCATCTCATTTCAAGTGATGTCAGATTCACGCGTGTACAACTCACATTTTCACTGTAAAACCTCGTATATTGAGAGCAAACCAGGATTTAACACTTCAAAGCAGATTTCTAGGTAGATAGCCTTGCTGCATGTTTGCATCTTTTTCCCTCTCCCTTCCGTTATTCATACCGAGATATTGTTGTAAGCCACTTGACTGCCTGCCTGTAAGTGCTTTAAATAATTGTGTTATAAAACCCAAACAAACTACTTCAGATTTACTTACAGCCACGAAGATGGAAAACCGTGTCCAGGAGGGCGCGCGCCCTTTCACAGCAGAACCATTAGACACAAAGGAACATGAAGTTTGGAAAGAGAGTAAGACTGGTGAGCAACCTAAACATGATGCCTTAGTTCCACAGCCAGCAAAAACAGAGGCTATAGATAAAAAGGATTCACAGAGCAAGGACAAAATGCCTTCACCTCTATCAGAACAGATTTTGGAAACCGATTCACAAAAGAAAGGGGAAGCCACTTTTGCAGAACCTGCTGCCAAGCCTCCTGTTTCTCAAGAACAGAAAGATTTGTCATCTGAACTGCCTAAAGGGGGCAAACCAGAAGAAGGAACTGCAGATGTGCCCTCGCCATCCAGCCACGTAATCTCTTTGAAATTTAAAGATGACCTTAAAGATGTGCAGGAGCTTGCCATCACCCATGGCGGAAGCTCTCTGTTGCCATCAGAACCCAAGGCAGATGCAGCCAAAAGTGAACTTCCTTCAGGCCCATCTCCCTCTGTCCTGCAGAGGCTTCCACCCGAGGACAGTTCCAAAGCGAAACAGGAACCCACTGACCAACTGTTTGCCAAAGATCTCACTAAAGATGAGCAGATCCACAGAGACAAGTCACCAACTCTGCAAGGAGAAGTCTCAGCAGTAGCTGTAGACGGCCTGAAACCGCCAAGCACACAGAAGATCCCTGCTTGGGGGGAGGAAAAGGACATGACCAAGGATGAGAGTGATGAGGAGGAAAGGTATGACTTCTATGATAAAGGGGAGGCTCGAATATTAGACGATGGTAAATTTACGACAAAACCTGAAGAGAAGACACTTTCTCTGGACAAAGTAGACTTTCAAAAGGATGGTGAAGCAAAAAAGTTACCTGATATTTTCAATGCAGAACAAGACGTGGACCAAAGAGGGCTCCCAGCAACAACAGACACAAAAAAGGAGGTGCAGCCAACCACAGAGGTGCCCGTAGGCAAGTTAAGCCAAGAACCGATCCTTGAGAAAACAGAGCACCTTGATACCACTCAGCTCTCCAGAACAGTGGAGAAGGCCCCTGAGGCACCAAGCTTAACCAGTGACGAGACTGGTACTCTAGAACCTCCTCAAGGAAAAGATGTTAAAAAAGATACCAAGGAGGATAAGATAAATGTTTTGGATTCAGCTGCTCATGACTTGACAGTAGAAGAGGATCGATCAGGAATGTCAAAGTATTTTGAAACCTCTGCTCTGAAAGAGGAAGCAACCAAAGGAGACGTTCTGAAACAAGGCAGTGATTACTATGAGCTAAGTGACACTAAAGAGAGTGCATATGAGCCTTATCGGACAGATCATCTAATCCTTGAAAACAAAGAGGAGGAGGAGGAGGAAGAAGAATTACAGGCAGAAGTGGATCAGCAGCAGAGTGTGCCTGCTCAGGAAATAGGGTACAGTGCCCTTGCTCAGAGCTTTCCGCCAGACAAGTCTGAGGAACCAAGTTCCCCAACAGAAAGAATGTTCACTATTGACCCCAAGGTCTATGGGGATAAGAGAGAGCTCCACAGTAAAAATAAAGATGACCTAACTCTGAGCAGGAGCTTGGGACTTGGCGGTAGATCTGCAATTGAACAGAGAAGTATGTCTATTAACCTGCCCATGTCCTGCCTGGATTCAATAGCTCTAGGATTTAGCTTTGGCCGTGCACATGATCTCTCTCCCCTTGCTTCAGATATTCTAACTAACACTAGCGGAAGCATGGATGAAGGTGACGACTACTTGCCAGCAACCACACCAGCGCTGGAGAAGGCCCCCTGCTTCCCCATTGATAGCAGAGATGAAGATGAGCACGTTGAAGCGGAGAAAGCAATGCCTGAAGAAAACGTCCAGCCTGAGACCTTGGTTGAGTCACCTTTCCCAGCCAAAGACTATTACAAAAATGGTGCTGTAATGGCTCCTGATCTCCCTGAAATGTTAGACTTAGCAGGGACAAGATCTCGATTAGCCTCTGTGAGTGCAGATGCTGAGGCGACGCAAAAGAAGTCAGTTCCTTCTGACACTGTTGTGGAAGACAGCAGCACAGCCCTGCCACCTGTGACAGATGAAAATCACATAACTCTAAAAGCGGAAAGTCAGCTAGAAGACTTGGGTTACTGTGTTTTCAATAAGTACACAGTCCCACTTCCTTCTCCAGTTCAAGACAGTGAGAATTTAACAGGTGAAACCTGTCCATTTTATGAAGGCACAGATGAAAAACTGAGACGTGGCCTAGCTCCCGACCTGTCTTTAATAGAAGTGAAGCTGGCAGCCGCTGAAAAATCAAAAGACGAATTCCTAAGTGAAAAAGATTTAGGTCAGCATGCTACTGGTGAATCTTTTCTGGTGAGGGACTTTGAGCAGTCAGAGAAAAAAGAGAAGTTGGATACAGTGCTGGAAAAAAGCGAAGATCAAGTTGACTCTAAAGAGATCTATCCCATTAAAGGTACAGAGCCAGAGAAGACAAGACCTGAGGCAATCTTAGAAGTGAAAGAAGAAGGTGTGGTTGATAAAGTTCATGTAACTGATGGTACTACATATGACAGAATATTAGCTACAGAGGTAATAAAAGAAGAAGATGCTGTTTCTTTGTTGATTGAGAAGGAGGAAAAGACTCTTAGTGTTGTTCCCGAAACGGTTGAGATAGAAACTCCAATAAAACCAGATTATAATGCTATAAAGCATGATTTGGAAGTGGCTGCAAGGAGAGCTGACCAAGAATATCAGAGTCAATTGGATACTAAGATCCGTGAGGTCGTTTCTCCCCCTTCAGGGCAAGACAAAGCCTCCGTTAAAAGAGCAGAGCCCGAACCTCAAGAAACTCAGCAGAAAGATCAGACCGTTTCGTCCAGAGAAGCAAAGGATGCAGATGTACTTTCCAAGACTGAGCCTACTCATGTGAAGGACAGCACCAAATTGACCGAAACAGAAATTAAGGAAAAAGTACCTAAGCCCGATCTGGTACATCAAGAGGCAGTTGATAAAGAGGAATCATATGAATCTAGTGGAGAGCACGATCAAGCCCAAGAAGGTTTGAATGGAGAATCCCTGAAACCAGAGGATATCAAAGGAGAACTTCTGAAACCTCCTGTGTCAGGGGAAGATACTCCTGCAGAGTTGCCAGCAAAGGAACCTTCTGTGGAGCTCCCCCTTCCAAAAGCTGAGCCTCTGCAAGAAGAAGCTGCTGATGTTCAGATGGAGAGCATACCACAACCTGCAGAGGGAATTGAAAAAATTCCAGATGCAGCTGTGAAACACATGGAAATCCAAAAGCTGCCACCATGTGAAGTGACAGCTGAGGCCACAAAAAGTGAAGAGCATGAGGAAGAAGAGGTAGAAGGAGGGCAAGAAGAAAAAGAAGAGGGTAAACAGCAACTTATATCAGAAGTGTCCCCAGAAGTAGACTTAGGGAAGCCCACCAGTGAAGAAATGCCGGCCAAGGTTAGCCCAGAAGCACTGCTTGAACTGAAAGGCGTTATTGAATCTGTGGTGACAGTAGAGGATGACTTTATCACAGTGGTGCAGACAACAGTCGATGAGGGTGAATCAGCTTCTCACAGTGTGCGCTTTGCTGCTACTCAGGAAGACATGGAGACAGGGGACTCCCAGGCTGAAGAGGAACTGGAAGTAGAAGAAGTGGCTGACATCCGTGCTGAGCCCAAGGAGGGCTCCCCAGAAGCTCCTGCTACACCTGAGAGAGAAGAAATCCTGCTCACAGACTACAGGACAGAGACGTGTGATGATTACAGAGATGAAACAACTATCGATGACTCCATCATGGACACAGACAGTCTCTGGGCGGATACTCAAGGTGTGCATTATCCTTTTTGTTTTGTGTGTTAAGTATTTTTGCTTCCGAATCATAATGATCGAAAAGAAAAATTATTATAACAGTAACAGTAATCTCAGCGTATTTCAAAAATGTGGTAAAATAGTCTGCCTTTTTTTATTAAGTCATCTACTCTGTCGTCAACTATTTTTACCCTGCTCCTCCACAGTATTGTTAACATTTGTTACTAATCTTTTGTTTGTTGTTATAATTTGCTCTGATCCTACAGATGATGATAGGAGCATCATGACTGAACAGTTAGAGACTGTTCCTAAAGAGGAGAAGGCAGAGAGAGAATTGCGAAGATCATCTCTCGATAAGCATAAAAAAGAGAAACCTTTTAAAACTGGGAGAGGCAGGATTTCTACTCCTGAAAGGAAAATAGCTAAAAAGGAACCTAGCACACTCTCCAGAGATGAAGTGAGAAGGAAAAAAGGTTCATTTAACACTCCCTATTACAATATATATTTTATATATAAAGATATATATATATATATTTTGTACTACTGTGCAGTATTATCAGGTTACTCTGTTGCAGAAGATGTGTACCTTAATAGTATTAACTGCAGTGCTTTTTAATGAGACATTGTACAATTATATGAAAAACTACGTGCAAGGCTCACTGCTCCATCAGTCCAGTTTTTTGTAGGTGTTCCCTCTCGGCATTGGGTAGCACATCTGAGGTTAATGCACCAGGGTTTCCCTTCTTCTGACTTAGGATTCATTCACCCCAGTAGAACCAACTCATCGGGTTGGAGTTGTGGAGCAGTGGGCCTGCCGCTTGATGTATTGTCATATCAAACTGTTCGGTGTCTTTTCCTGATTCTATGCTTTTGTGTTTTCTTGTCCATAGCAGTGTATAAGAAAGCTGAACTTGCTAAAAAAACTGAAGTTCAGGCCCACTCTCCCTCCAGGAAAATCATTTTAAAACCTGCTATCAAATATACTAGACCAACTCATCTCTCCTGTGTTAAACGGAAGCAGACAGGTGACTGCGCTCTGTTCAGTTATGCAATGTGGCTGGCAAACATAGACATTTTTTTTTTTTTTGTAAAACTCATGGCTATAGCAGCTTTTCTATTTTTTTATTTTTCCTCTAAGAATATCAGTCTTCACAAATAGTATTGCTTTTTTAGTGTTTTGTATCATTTTTCTTTTCTTTTCTGCTTTCTTTCCCAGTGTGTGTGTGTTTGTTTAATGGAGGCCGTGATCATGTATGCTTGTCATTGCTTGGACCTCCAAGTGCCGTGGTTGTATCTTGGCATCATGGTTATAGTGTGTTGGTGGAGGAATTTCTAGTCATCTCTTTTTTTTTTTAATTATGTTTTTTTTTTTTTCTGGTGGGAAAATGTTGACAGCTTAAACCATGGTATGCATTTCCATTATTTTGCTTTTTTTACTCTCATGCATAATAAGAAGTGTTTCAGACTTACTTATATATTGTTGATTAATGTTACCTGCATTGACACTTCTCAATCTGTTACTGATGTTTATGATGTACAGTCAAAATCCACAGGGGGAATCCAGCCACAAGCAGTATGAAGCTGAAAGAGAAGAAATCTGGGCTCATACTACGAAAGCGTTCCAAGCAAAAATCTTAGTATTTGGTAGAGGAAGATGAAAGGATGGACAAAATATTCCTGTTACGTCTTGATAGATATATCATTATTTAGAGGACCAAAATGAGAATATTTTCAATATTTTCATCATATTACTCTTACTGCTTCTGTGAGTTCAGGGTGGAAAGATTATCGTCTCGGAATTTACTATTAAAAAAAAAAAAAACCCAAAGAATTGCTAAAAGAGGCTGGATTTTCTGTTATGTAACATGTCTGCCTGCTGCAGTGTAGTTACTCATGGGTGGAACTAGGGTTATCAAGTGAAGAATCATGCCCAGCAATGCAAAGCTACTACGGTGTAGTGTAGTTATAGGCCTCTTCTAATGCCTTGGAAATTTAGAGTAGGATTTATTACGCAGCACAGAAGAACACTGTGCAATGCCAAAAGCGTTCCTAAGGAGTTGCTCCCATGCACTTTTGCACCAGTCAGTCACCTCTGTGCTAAATTTGGACCATCTTCAATATGGAGGTCTGACTATTGAAAATACAGTAGAAGGATAGCATGTGAAGGTAACTCGAATACCCTAACAGTGTAAAGTGTGTATCATCTACAGGTTGTATTCCATTAGGAAAACAGAACTAAATATTTGGTCTCGTTTTTGCTGGTGTGAGGGAATCTAGCGCTAACTCCCGTCACAAGAAGTGGAGCCAGAGGAGGAAAGGCTGATTGGACCTCTCTGTGTTGCAGCGATGGCTCCTCTGTGAGCAGTCTCTGGCCTAACTTTCCCTCTAGACCTTGGACTACTTCTTGCCACCTTGTTCATCGTTTCTTGAAGCACAGTTTGGTCAGCTCAGAAATTATGACCCATAATTCACAGATTATTTCAGAAGACCTAGAGGGTTCAATAAGCACTGGAAATGAGGAATTGATTCTTTACGTCGTGTAAGAAGCGTTGGCTTTGTAGCATTCTCGTCTTCCCCTACGTTTCTACAGCCGTGTGGTCAGTGCTGTCTTGCCCCCAGATACTCCACCACTAATTCTTTTGAAATCTTCAGGCCTGGTAGTGTCCCAGAGAGGCCTGAATCTTACTGATAGACTCACATAAGGAAATCTGCTGGGTGGGCCAAATGTGTGCTGCCTGGCAAGTCAGAGCTTTTTCTCTCTCACTTTAATACATAGTGAAGCAGAGGTACTAGTCAAATCGAAAAATGTAATACAAGAACATCCTCTCTTTATGTTTAAATACTAAGGTGGAGAGCAAATTAAAAAAATCCTTCAGAGAATGAGGCAAACTTTCAGTTGAATTCAATCCACTGGCATTTTTACTGTGGTGAACCAGAATGGTGGACCCACGTTGATCTTAAATTTGTATTAATGTTGGTTTTGGCTGAACTTGGAGGTTTGGGCTCTAAAGCAGAGTGGCTTGAGCCGTATCACAAAGTGAGCGAAAATATTTCTGCAGATGTTTCACTGTACTCACTGTTGCTGGAAAATTCACAGTAACCGTGATTTTCTTGTCTCCCCTTTTTTATAGTTATTGATAGGACTTGATGGGAGGCCACCTGAAAAGATGTCACGTGATACTGCACACCAAGAGCCTAGGCAGCTGTATGTTAACCTACATCTCACTGAGCCTGAACCAATCATCAAGACCTTTTCAGGGTCTGAAGCTCAGAGGGGCATTGTTTTTCCATATCCATCTCTCATTTTCTTTTATGTAAAATACAAGATCATTGCTTGAGACCAGTTTTATATCCTTTCTGGAAGTGTCTTGTCAGCTTTAGTGATAACCTGGCCAACAGAGCCCCACTAAAAGTCCTTCCACCTTGTAGTCACTACAGCTTTGAGTATATTCCAGTCATGTAGCCTCCGTGTTAAGTTTTCTTTGAATTTAAAATTGAACATATCCAGTCATAAGATACAGCTGTCTCCATCATAAAGTTAAAACTTGCTCATATTTTCTGTGTAGTGGCCCAGGAAATTAATTATTTCCCTATTACCTCAATACCAGGAAAAAAAAAAAAAACAAAAAACCCACTTGTCATTGTGAGGTAGGTACGGGCAAGTACTGGTAACTTATGCCACTGTATCGTCAAGCAAGGGGCTTTGAATCATCCTACTTTTTAAAAGGTTCACTGTTGAAATTCAGAGAATAAGGCCAACTTTGAGGAAAGCCCTGTGATGTCTTTGCCTTGGCTTGCGCCGGGGAGCGCCAGGCTTTGTCGCGGGCCTGTCCCCTGTGTGATGTCACAGGGGCGCCGGCGCAGCCGCGGGCGACACCTGCCGCCTCTTGCACGGACGCCAGCATGCAGTAGGCTTGCGTTCCTTGCCTTCATTTCTGGGGTCAGCCCCCCGAGGTAAAACATGGTCGTACTTAAACTGGTGGCAGAGCACATAAAGATACTGTGAAGTCATGATCCAGATCTTTTGTTCAGATGGAGGCATTGTGGTGCTCTCAGGTAAGTGGGCATGAGCAGCACACGCCTGCTTTCCATGCCACAGCAGAGGCACGGGGTTCAGTGCCAACGGAAGAAGGAGAGACATTCTGTATGATTATTTTAGAGAGATGCAAAACAGACCAAAAACAGCACTAACAGATGTGGTAAAATGCAGTGCAGGAGGACTGTGCTGTACTTTTCCCTGTTTCAAGTTCAGAACTAAAGTATACAGTTGTATATTCTTTTCCTCCTCCCAAAGCTTCTCTTCTACTCTTTCAATTGAACTAAAAGATAAATAGCAAGGAAGCAATATTAGGAGGACAGAACTACTGAGTGGGAAGTTCAAGCTTGTAGCAGGAAACCAGGGATTTCACCCCCCCACACACACACACCTGGTGCAAATGTGTGCTGCAACTGTGCATGGAAAGGAGAAAATTCGTCAGAACCGTCCTGTACGGTGTTTTAGGGTTGGTTCTGTAGTTGAAAGACAATGAGGTTTATAGCTAGAGACTGTCATCTGTGCCCACTGTCCTGCTTCTGCATTTGTTGAGGGCCATTCTGGCACAGATGCCAAAGGATTTTCTGTAGCAAATCTCTTCCTGAAAAGCAGCAGCGGGGTCCAACTAATAATCTGCTTTCTGAAAAGCTCCCCAGTTCCCAAACTTCTCCTAAGAATGGGATCCAAGTCAAAGATAAAAAAGCTTTGTCTCAAATCATGTTATAACAGATAAGTGAAATACCGATTTAAGACCCTTGCTGTCCCAGATTTAATTTGAATTCTAAAATCTGAAGGCTGGTTGACCCATGGCGCACTGAGCTTTTGGACACTACTGGGAAGATAATTCAGCAGGGAATTTCTGTTAAGAATTGCGGCTGTATTTTGAAAAGTGGTTGGTAATTTGAAAGGCCTCCCTTTAAAAATTTTCATTTGCTGATTCCTTAAAGGAGCCTGATTTTTAGAGGACAGTTGGTCAATGCTTTATGAAAATCAGGACTCTAAGATGTCTCAGGATGGACCTTCAGAACTACAGGCTCTTCTAATTGTGTGTCATTTTTTAAATTTTATACCCTAGTTTCTAGACTTCTAGGAACATGACGGCAAAATTCTGATTTGTTTGAAATGTGTAGAATGCTATTTTGTCTCAAGTATGATGAATATAGGACATAGTTACGGCAGGTGTCTTTCTGCACGCAGCTTACTGAGACTAATTCACAAGGTAATTGCTTTGTACAGTAGTGCCAAGGCATTTGATCATTCTAACCGTATACTAAGTGGAAACACATATATGTATATTTTTTAACCATCAAGTCTTTGTTTGGGTCTCTCAGCAGCAGGCGGTGAAACAAACCAGGCTCCTGGTGTACTTAAACAAGCAAAGGAAAAACTCTCAGTGAGTAAAGTCATCTTTTCATCATCAATTTTTATAGTCTCCTTTTTGTCCTTATTGCAGTTGTTTGTGTGTTAATTCAGTACATAATTGTGTGTTCCCTTTAGAATGTTTTTGCCATATTCATTATTCATTTAAAAGGCTAATGAAAGCCGTCTTTCCTGAATAACTCCTAAATTACAGTCACAGGTGGTACGTGATGACTGTTTTGCAAATCCACAGGGGGCAGGCAGACTCCAGACTCTGGAGTTTGATGTTGTTCAGCATTTTGAGCCTGGTCCTCCTCCAGGGGAAACCGTGTGCCCCTTGGCCCTTTTCGCAGCACCTGACCCCTTAATCGACTGTTAGATACTGCCGCTGGACTGGCTGCAAGGCTGTGATGTGCTCTTACATCTCCTCGTGTTCCACAGAGCTCATGCCTGTTTAGAAATTATTAGCCAAGAGCATTTTATACGTGAATAAGTTCTTTCTGATTGGCCATTTCCTGGACCGCTGATCTCTGTGTCAGTGTTTTAACCTGATAGTTATGTGCCCTGCCTTCAGCTGCTCTGCAGCCTATCCTGCTCCTTGCGTCCAGTTCTCCTCTGCTGATTTTCCTTCAGCAAATACTGCAGTACCTCCTGCTGTGCTGCCATGCTAACCCTACCACTCTAAAATCCCCAAGAAACCTCTTTTCGCTCTCCCCTAAGCAACTCTTGTTTTCCATGACACTGACGCATGCTAACTCACAACTTCAGCACAGCGATTATTTGTCATTGTTAGCCACTGTTAACAATAATGGAGAAGTTCCTTAAGATTCCCCTTATGTTTCCTAATACATTCCATGGCTGTTGTGTTTCATCAGTCTAACCAGGCTGTCAGGTCCTTGGGGAACAAAAAACTGTGTCTCGTAAAGTGCTATGCAGGTCGTTGACGAATTGGAAGAAATTGGTCGTAATGATAACAGCATAACTTTTTTGAGGCTATGCAGGGAGCTGTGAAATTTACACCTGAATTCAGCCATAGATTTGGGGATTTGGTGTGGTATTGTAAGCCTGGCCTGTTTCAGGTTATAACTGAGGAACTTCTGGAGCTTCTTTACTGGAATAGTAAGAAATACCTAGACGGGCTTCTGATCTGAGTCAGCAGTAAGATTTATTGTTGTCTGCTCTTTGGGGGTGATCAACATTTACCCAAGAGAAATCGATACTAGTGCATTTTCAGAGCCTTCTGTGCTATGAGTATAAGCACTGCATAATCATTTTCTGAAATGGTCTGCTTTCTATGCGTCTTTCTTCTTCCTGTCCCTTACCTGATGGCAAAGATCAGAAGTCTGTCCTCCGCTTTCTTTCTCTCCCTGTTACTTCCCTTCTCTGGTTGCAACACTCACCCGTCTCTTGGACATTTTCTCCCTTGTGCCATGTCTTCATCTTTACCTTCCTAAAGACCTCTCCTCTTTTGTTTTTGTTGCTGTGTGTGTTCCTGTCTTGCAGCTTTTCCATCCTTCAAGTGCAACCTTTTCCTCTCCACTGGTAATGTTACACCATCCAACCCCCGCAGTTTGTCATCCATCTTCAAACCACAGTTTGCATATTGCATTTCAGAACAAGTTCAGGAAAGGCTAAGCAGTTCCATCTGCTGGAACGAGCTGTGTACCTGTGTCAGCGAAATGTTAAGAACATCAGCCATGCATTATGAATGTGTATTCCCTAGCTAGCCTCTGAAGTAAAGCTTTCTGCATCCCATGTTCAGCGATCCCTGAATTGCTGAGTCTTAATCAGGGCTACATTGATCTTTGTCCGAAGGGCAGCTGTCACTTCCATCAACATGAATTTTAGCAGAGGTCAAAGGTAATATACAGCTAACAGAGAATGAGAGTAGTTTACTGGGTAAAGCACAGGCTGGGGCAGAGGCGTTTCATTTCTTTACTTGCTCTACCAGTCTTCCTTGAGCATGCCACTGAAATCAGCTGGGCCACATTCTGCTGCTTTTACTGATGCTAAAAAGTGCCCTGCTCCCTGAGTAACGCCAAGGGGGTATAGACTAACAATCCCAGAGTGATGCATTAGCTCTAGGTCCTGCCTTCCCCCGAGTTGTTCCACTGAAAGATCTTGGTCACGTCCATCTTTAGGATCCACATTAGAGGTGTGTATTCATGGAGGACACTGGTATGCAATATGAGTGAGAAGGACAGGGTCTCTGCACTGGGCAAGATTCTTAATCTGTAAGGGCTTTCCAGTCTCATTAAGGGAATCATTTGGAGTGACACCCCCCCCCCCCACACACAGAAAAAAAGCTAAAACTGTTGAATGAACATTTGGGTCTCCAAGTGTGCGTACTTCGTGTTATCTCAAGTTAGTAAATCAGGTGAAAGGTGCTTACATAATGTCTGCTTTTCAGAACCACCTGAGATACCCAACTTCCACAGAGTTTCAGCAATTATTAAACACCTTAGTGTTTAGCCCAAATTTTCTCAACTGGATGGGACCCAAAAATTGGATTACGACAAATTGGGCTAAGCCTGGAGAAGCCTTTGCTGTGACAGAAACATTTTCATTAGCATTGTCCAGTTTCTATTTAAAATAAATATATACTGATTTTGTTCTGTGTACTCTCGTAAAGTGAAATAGTTTTTAAGAAAAAGAGAAAATTATGTTGCAAAGCTCATTTTAGAAATATATTCTTGCTTGGAAATCGCCTCCATCCTTTGACCTAAACTTTGACCTTGCTCAGTGGAGCCACCTGATCTGGATGGTCCTGATGTGGCTGGCTACCCGATCTAGAAGTCCAGCTCAGCCGTGTTCTGGGACTAAAATTGTTTATTAGCCAGTTCTGCAACTCTTACTCATGTTGATTAGTACATATGTACTATGGATGACATTAAGCACCCCAGCCTCAGTTTTCTGTAGGTTGGGTATCTCGTCTAAGCCAGATACTCGTCAGTAGAGAGCTGGAAAACTCTAGGGTATGACTCATCCCACTTTTTTGCTCATTTTCTAAAAAGCACAACTTGAGGGGTGACTCATACAGCTTTTGTGAACATTGAGAAAGCCTAGGTGACTGGCTTAGATTAAATGCCAGCTTTTTCGTGGCTAAAGTTCTGTACCAGATCCCATACTTAACATTGGGATTTGTTTCTATGAGTAATTTCTGTGAATACAGAGAGGATCAGGACTACATTGCCAAGGTAAGAGCCTTGCAGTTATTCTTTGTAGCACCGTTTATACCCTTGGGAGAAAAAAGAAAAAAAAGGTGTTGCTTAAGGGAGTAGCCCTGTTCTCTTTCAAAGTAACTCCTTTTTGCAGGGCAGTCACGTGCTCATCAGTGTCAACAGAGCATTTACAATCTGTCCTATTGACTTTTATTTTTTTTCAGTGTGGTATTATCGATATTCAGAATCAGACAAGTATCTGATCACAATGACATGTCATGTCAAAATTTCAAGCATATAAGGGTTTCATCCCAGGTCTCCACGTTGTCAACAGGGACCTACAAATTTCCACCATGACACCGAATGCACTTGTGGTGCATTTAGTATTTTGTGTATACACAGTGGCATAAGAAACACTGCTGTCATGTCCTTCTGTCATTCTGGGAATATTGCTGTAACTTTGCTTTAAGATTCCCACAGTTTTATTCTTGAGCATAACCTGGGATACCACACTTCAAACGCACAACTTGGTTTTAAAAGACCGGGCTATGTCGGTGCTCCTGTAGCTTTGCACTTGCTTCTAATGCATCCAACTAGCAGTTGTACCAGCTTTTGTTGTGTCTGGCATCATTTTTGTTGTATTAATACACGGCAAAAATAGTATCCGCAGAAAAGGGACTCCCTAGAATCAGTAACTCTGACCAGACACAGATGTTTTCAGTCAAACAACACAGAGCTAAAACTTCCCTGCATGTCCGAGAACTGCCACAGACACACCATTACCAGACAAAGGAAAAGTATTAACTCATGGCTTGGCTTTTTTTTTTTTTGTGTGTGTGTCCATGTTGCATGTGTTTTCCTTTTGTTCAGCTTCATGTTGTGTTTTCTTTTGTTTGTTTTCTCATGACTAGAGTGCCTCTTTGTCAAAGATTCCTGCCTCAAAGTCTAGAGCAAAGTCATTGCTTCCTCCACGACCCAGCTCAGCTTGCTCATTAACTACTAAAAGGGCCACTTTTCTCGCTACAGACAATTATTATGTTCGGCCCTCCTCAGCGGGCCCAAGAGACTGCTTGCCCTACTCAAAATCAGACGCTAAGGTAAGGTAGCCAAGTTAGTAGAAAGAGTTAGCGCAGAGATGTGCAGGTGAATTCCATGGATCGGATTCTCTCCCCAGTGAGCTTGAGTAAATCTCTGTGAAGTTAACCTGGGATTACTTACATCCATTGGTAGTAAAGTTGATTATTAGGCTGCATGCTACAAAATCAATAAAAACAAGGGAGATTCTCCAGAGGAAACATAAGTGAAATAACTTAAACATAGAAGGACATGTCTTCTTTCTGTTGATGACATGGATGCTGCTTCATTGACTGCTGAGAAGTTGTACCCGTTTGCACGTGGGTAAATGTGACAAACAGCAATACTACTTTGCCTTCCAGGAGAAGTTTAAAAAACAGAAAATTAAATTTCAGCCAGTTGATATTCTCTGAAAACAAATTCAGTCGCCAGTGTAAGAGGGTGCAGTTCTCATGATCAGCAATAAAGGCTGAAGCTGTAGGAAGCAAATTTAATCTATGCATGGTACCATGTTGAAGAAGTTGCAGTAAGAGTTTAAAGAGCTGGTTGGCAGTTTTCCATCCTAGCTTCCTGGTGTTCACGTTCCACTTGCATTGCATTATCTACCTGATGCTGACTTAATGACTGTTATGTTACGTGAAAGCCGTTTTCCCTATTGACTTCCATTTTCTGTCTAATGGTATGCCTCGTGCGTCTCTTACTGGTTTGGTCCGTCATGCTAGTTGCCCTTGGGAGAACCATCTACTTACACAAGAATGTCTTTGATAGCCCATCCCAGAAGTTCCACAGTATTATAGTATATTCAGATATCCACTGCTCTAACTGGGATGAAAAGCCGGTATCTGCTGATTTCAAAATGGAAAAAAGATGAGCATAGAAGGAAGCAAGAGAAGACATCAGGTTGTAATAGTCCTGCACTCAAAAAATAACCACTAGCCAAAACTGTTTCTCCTTAAAAAATCAGAAGTTAATGTTGAAAAATGCCAAAATTCACCCATTACCTAATAATATAATGTGTGGTGTGTTCTAGACCACCGTTATTGCAGTTACGTTGCAAGTGAATTCACATGAGAATTTCACACCTGAGCTCTTGGTGACTTTTTTACTTTCAACTTGAACAAAGTAAAAACTTGTTTCTCATTAAGAATCAGATCTGGAAGCCATCCATATTTAGATCTAAGAGTATCTGTTTCAAGTAGCTCAGGAGACGGCTGCCTTTGTTGTGTTGATGGAAAAGACATCTATGCTAGCTTCACAGGAATTTAGATCATAGTCCAGTAGTCCGCTATCATCTGCTGAAGTCACTGGGAGCTTTATCTTTGACTTCAGTGGGAGTAAAACCAGTCATTAATAGATGCTTGGTCAAACCAGTGGGAGATGAAAGGCTTTGCCTGCACCAAAGGCTAAGTTTATCTTTAGGAAAGGGTAGGTTATTTAAGCTAGGGTGAGATTTTGCAGAATTTCTCACTTGAGGGAAGTCTCTCACCAGGAATGGAGTTCTGACCACTCTGAGCACCACAGTTGATCCTTTCCTGTTGGGTGCTGCAGTAAAGCACCAGGGAGCTAAGCAGAGTATGGGAGGCAGCTAGATCCCTGCCGTTTTCTGCATGAGTAGTAATCTGGGCCCATGGAATGAGGCTTGTGCCCCTGTCCACAGGAAGAGAGAGAAATCAGAACCCAAAGGGGGATGTTTTGAAAACTAAACGTTCCTTTTTTATTTTGCTGCTACTAGGATGGAGTAAGCAAGAGTCCAGAAAAGCGTTCCTCTCTACCAAGACCTTCCTCTATCCTTCCTCCTCGAAGAGGTGTCTCAGGAGACCGAGACCGAGAGGAGAATTCCCTCTCCCTCACAACTTCCCTTTCCTCTTCAGTACGACGGACTACTCGTATGTTCTTTGCACTTCAACTCTCTCCTACTGCTGTGGTTGTCGCCCCTCACTGTCAGATTTGTCCCACGGTCGCCATACCATGTGTCCCTCGCCCTTTGCACTGAGGGGTATGTCTGAGGTGTGGTGTTGGAAATCAGAGCCTCAAAGATTGTTTCTGTTCACATATCAAGCGCTTGAGCAGAAGGGCTTGAAACCAGTCATGGAAGGCATCCTTTCTGCAAAGCCCGCCGGGAGCTAGGACTGCAGTTCAGGCTTACTGCCCATGTTAGAAAATGTCATTGCAGGGACCTCACAGCTAGGTAAGATATTTAACTCAAGATATTTATAAACGGCAACAAGAACGAGACAAACCTGAAGTAGGCAGTAAAAAAATTCTGATGGATCTGAAAATACTGAACCTGATAGTTACAGTCATTAATTTGCTGTTTTACTGTAATGACCTCCCTGTGTTCTAGTCTAAGGATAAAAGCTCTCTATTCTGAGATTTGCAGAGATGATGTTAGCTATTGGAGTGGCTCACTGGGGTAAATCAGGGTAGTTAACCAGCAGCATCCTTTTATGAGGACCAATTCTATCAAATCACAAGCCAAAAGAAGTTGTAGGACAAAGAGACTTTTACCAAATACCCCCAAAACTTTTAGCTTGATTTGCATTCAGCCCAGCCCTGGATGTGGTGTGGCTCCTTGCTCTCCCATAGGAATTCTTCTGGCTTGCTCTCTTTAGAAACCAATCACTGCCCTTTTTAAAAGAAGCTAAGGGAAGTAGATGCTAAAATTCTATGAAAGAGGCCTTTGAAATTCTTGGGTGATGCTCCAGAAGTAAAACAAAGACCCTTTGCAAGCAGAGCGACCCCAGGTGGCTCAACAGCCCATTCTGCTTGCTAGGAGCAAAAGGCCATTGAGCATCTGCAACTGTGGTGGAAGGGTTGAGCAATGAAAAATAAATAAAGCAAAGCTGCAGGGACCTGGGGAAAAAAAAAAACCAAAAAAACCCCCCAAAAAACCCAAACACATTCCCTTTCCATTACAGTAGGTATAGTGAGAAGGTTCTGGTTTAGGGTTGGTTGAGAAAGAAAAAAACCATTCAGGGAATATGTTCAGTCTATTTAATGTGTCACGTAGAACGAAGACAATTTCTCATGGACCCTAGGAGCAGCAGTGCGTTGAGTTTGGTCCATCACCATTAAGTAAACAGAGTAATTACCAGTTAACTTGAATGGGATTTTGGTTAGTCCTGCTGGATGCTCCATAGAGGTCCATTGGATTTATTGTTCCTGAACGTTTTAAAGGTGAAACCGTGTATATGCATCCATTCAGCATTGAGGTTCTCAGGCTTTAGGAGTTGATTTGCTCTTTCTCTGAGTGCTTTGCTATAAACACTGTATGGAGCTATCTCAGCTTCTTCTGTTCATTTGCTGTAGAGAGTTACAAGCAAAGTTGGCTGCAGAAAGCACAATGTCACGAATAAACTTGATTATTGTGTTTAGGCAAAAAGGACTAGCAATGCCATTAACACTGAGTGGAGCCACTACAAAACGTTACAGGGTGTTTTTTAAACTTGCATGTAGATATAACTAAAGTGTAACTTCTAATCAAGGTTGCCTTCTGTAATTGCGTTCTTTCACTGCACTTACTGAATATTGAACTTTAACATCATGAATTTCAACAAAGGGAAGTGCAGAGTCCTGCACCTAGGGAGGAATAACCCCACGCACCAGTGCAGGTTGGGGGCTGACCTGCTGGAAAGCAGCTCTGCAGAGAAGGTCCTGGGAGTTCCAGTGGACAAGTTGACCGTGAACCAGCAATGTGCCCTTGTGGCAAAGAAGGCCAACGGTATCCTGGGCTGGGTTAGGAAGAGCAGCAGGTCAAGGGAGGTGATTCTTCTCCTTGACTCAGCGCTGGTGGGGCCACACCTGGAGTGCTGTATCCAGTTCTGGGCTCCCCAGTATTAGAGAGAGGGACCTGCTGGACTGAGTCCAGCGAAGGGCCACTTAGATGTATCTATCAGTGGACTGGAGTATCTTTCATATGAGGAGAGGCTAAGGGAGCTGTGACTTTTTAGCCTGGAGAAGACAAGACTGAGGGAGGATCTTATATGAATGTATATATAAATATCTGAAGGGAGGGTGTAAAGAGGATGAGGCCAGATCTTCTCAGTGGTGCCCGGTGACAGGACAAGGGGCAACAGGCATAAACTGAAACACAGGAAGTTCCATATGACTGTGAGGGTGACAGAGCACTGGAACAGGTTGCCCAGAGAGGCTGGGGGGGCTCCCTCCCTGGCGATTCTCAAAAGCCAGCTGGACAGGGTCCTGGGCAACTTGCTCTAGGTGACCCAGCTGGAGCAGGGGGGTTGGACCAGATAATCTCTAAAGGTCCCTTCCAACCTTAACCGTTCTGTGATTCTGTGAGCTTGGGGGACGTCTGCCCATCTGCACAGCAGAACCGTAATTCTTGTTCATCAGCTGAATGTTTGCTCAGGATTCAGCTGCGGATACCAGATTACCAGCAATGGTATATGATCAAAAGCAGCCAGGCATTCAGATGGTGTAGTTTCAGGATTAAGATCAGAATTTTCACCGCTATCTAGTTTAACCCCCAAAATCCATGGAAATAGATGGCAACACTCTCACTGGCTGACAAGGTTATCGCATCAAGTCCCCAAGAGTAGATTCAGATAGTGTGTCTCATTTTCCTAAGAGGGAAATCAGTGTCTCAGTCTTGTGCCCCGTCTAGCCAGCTTTGCAGGAAGCATAGGCATTTTGGGAAGCACATCTGTACTGCAGAATGGAAACCTCAGTCACCACCTGGGTGAATTACCAGCTCAACCACAGGTGACAAGGTGACAAGGTAACTCTTGGCAGGGTTGACTAGCTAAGTAAGACACAGACACCTGGTCGGCTGCTCCAGTGTTAGCACAGACAGAGCCATCTTAGAGCTGTGTCTCACAGGGTTGTAGTCTTGGGAGGTGCAGTATGGTGAAGAGCTGTATCTCTTTGGATCTAATGCTGTTTTTTTTTTTCTTGCATGTAGGATCAGAGCCAATTCGTAGCAGAACAGGAAAAAGTGGAACTTCTACCCCCACCACTCCTGGTTCTACTGCCATCACTCCAGGGACCCCACCTAGCTACTCCTCCCGTACCCCAGGCACTCCAGGGACCCCCAGCTATTCCAGAACCCCGCACACTCCTGGGACCCCCAAATCTGCCATACTGGTACCCACTGAGAAAAAAGTTGCCATCATTCGCACTCCTCCCAAATCTCCAGCCACTCCGAAGCAGCTACGGGTTATTAATCAGCCTCTACCTGACCTCAAGAACGTCAGGTCTAAAATCGGTTCAACAGATAACATCAAATACCAGCCTAAAGGAGGGCAGGTAAGGATTCCACTCTTTATATTCATCCATATTTGGTTTATTCTCATGTGTACAGTGCAGTGCTGGGATGGGATGGGAGCAGTCTGGAGTTGCCTCGTAAATGCTGCTTCTATTGTCGCTGCCATAGACATTGGTTGTTTTTTAAGTGATGTTAAATGGCAAGGGACAGGATTACCTTCAGGAAAATATTTTGTCACCTGAAAATTAACAGTGCCTCACTGAGATGAGTGGAAAATTGCAAACAAAAGTTTGCGCTCCATTGTACAGATATGTTCAGCCTGAATCTTAGCAGCTGCTGCTTGCTTATCAGGAAATTGAAGAGGTTCTCTGTACTTCAAGCAGTAGTGAATCAAGTTTCAGATTCAACCTTTTCACCTTGCACAGCACCATGACTTTTCACTGTGTTGTGTTACATAACATGTGCGTTGTGTTGGGTGGTGTTAATGAGGGTTGCAGCCTCTAGCCTGATAAAGCCACCCTCGGTTAAAGATGATGGGAGGGGGTAGGTGTCAGGCTTAACTGCTTCTTTTGCTGCAAGGTTTGAATAAGTAAGAACAGGGCTTAACTTATAAACTGGAGAAGGCATATAAAATAAGAAAAGGTGAACGCGTAACAAGGCAGATCGCGATTTTCTGTTCTCACCGTGTGAATGCACAAGAATTCAGGGAAAGCTGATGTAATTGAAAGCTGGAAAATGTCAAAGCACATAGTTCTTCGTACCTTGCACAGTTAAGCCATAAAACATGTTATCTTGAGGACTGCCTTCATCTACGAAAAGGACGTACGTACAGAGTAACAAGAATCTGCTATTACTACAGCCAGCACAAAGCTATGGAAAGAACAGTAGACATGCAGGTTTTTAAGCTAAGCTTGCGCTTTTGGAGAGTGGGGGAAAGATCAGATAAGGCGTACCCTCTATTTTCCTAGGGCGTGGAGTTTATACCTTCCTTTGAAGAGTTTCTGCTTGATGCCCTACCGAGCAGAGCTACGGCCAGACCTGGAGTAGTCATCTCTGCATTTTGGGCATGGCAGACGTGGGCATGCAGATGGCATTAAAAGACAAAATCATCTCCAACCAAGCAAGCTTTCTGCGTGGAAGAACTGTTGTTCTGGCTTACGGGATGAAGCAGTTCATTTTATTAATATTTTAAAGGTTATAAAACTGTTTATAACCTGAAAGAAGTCCATTTAGAAAGGCTGAATGAGGAAAAAAAATAGAGCTTGCTAAGATTTATGCTAAAAATACAGGGAAATCACTATTGTGAGCATAAGGAAATTGGTTAGTTTATTTGTTGTTAAAGGTTCCCATGCATTTCATGTTGACTCTGGACCATAACCTTACCACAAAAAAACCCCCCTGTGTCCCCAGCTCCCTTTTACTTCCCTAGAAGCTGAGATTGCTGAGTTACTCACAGCAGTGGCAGTGTGAATGCTTGCCTTTTCTGGAAAGGTCCGTTTCTGAACTAGCTGCAGGGACAGGACATCAGGGTGAAGAACAAGCTGCTCACCCTTCTAGCCATCTGGAAGACAAGACCTTCTAGAAAGCTGGGTTGCACAGTATTTCCAGATCAGATTCTTGTAGAAATACCTGGGTTTTGGAATACGTAGTGGAATATACAAAACAGTGAGGTTTTTCCTAGTACTGTCTTTTGCCAAAAAAAGTAATTGTATCAAAGCTTAACATTTCAACTCTGCCTACCGCAGGTCATACAGAGAACAAAGCAGGATAATATATTAAACAGTAAAGCATCTCTTTGACATTGATCCTGCTTTCATGGTAAATTAACACATTCGGTGCTTTCCAGGATTTGGATAGTAGCCAGTTATTCAGATACAGTCCGGATGATAATGCCTCAGCAAAGGTTCTTTCTGCCTTTATTTTGACAAGTGTCTGTGTAATTACTTTGTATCATCATGTACTTTGTTCATCTCCCATTTGACATATTGTATAGCAGATGGCCAGGGTGCACAGGGGATTTGGGAGGCTTGGAACAAAAGTTCGGACAGTGTGTCTAGGTTAGCATTCCTCATAATGTAACAAGCTTGGATGCTGGACGTGGGGCTTAAAACCAGTACTGTATTAGCCTGTCCTTCTCCTCCGCATTATTCCCCGTGGATCGTAAAAACTATGCAAAACTATAGAGGACCTCAGCAAATTGTGTTTCTTTCTAAACATCATGCCTAGAAAGCTACATTTCCTTAGCAGTTTTGAAAAGTTGCACATGGTCTTTACCAGGAGCAATGATGCAGAATGATGCAGCAGTCGGCGTTTCATCCCTTTGCAGGAGGATAGGGGGGAAACTGCTGGGTGGACCTAATAAGATCAATGAAGCTAAAGCATTTTTTAACTCTCAGTGGTATGTAGCCACTGCATTGTGGCTGGGTCAAAGAGAGATTCACTGAGTTCTTCCGTTAGATCTCCTTTATATCATGGTTGCTCAGTCTAGGCAAGAGGTTTTAGGATTAGTTCTTTTCGTGTTTCTGTAGTTCGATTTTAGAGGGTCTATCAGAGGAACATATGACAGCTAGTTTAGTTTCCTTGTGTCCGCTTACTTTTTGTCTGGTGCTAAATACTCCATCAGCTGAAACGAGCTGTTATCTGCTTTTAGTGATGAAATATGAAACAAGCAGAAGGCTGCTCAAGTTTGTAGCCTGAACTGGGAGTGCTGATAGCAGTAACCACAGGAAAAACAAGGAGACAAAAAGCCAGTGTATATCTGGGCAAGTTAAGTACATAAACATGACATGCAAGTCACTAAAGGAGTACAGATATGCAACCCAAAAGCGTCATTTGGAGACAGACTCCATCATTTTACCGGAGGCGTATCTTAACCTAGCACAAGGTCTTGTCTTAGCTTTCAGCTGTCCCAGAGAAAGCAGCAGCACTGCGAAACTGTCAGAGGCTGAGGTGTGCAGCTAAAGAAGCATGGGATGTTTGAATGCTAAATAAATCAAGAAACACAGGGCTTCAGCCTTGACTTTCATCAAAAGCTCATCAGCCAACAGATTGATTTTAATTTAGCTCTGTCTTGCCAGCCACAAAAACAAAGAAAAGGAGAGAAATAGCCCCACCTGACAGAAAAAAAGAAAAGAGCATGCTTCTAGGGGAAGAAGCAAATTAATGTTGCCCTGCATTAAGTTCCTACTAGAAATAGATGGTTTGAGATGTGTTTAATTGATATTCTGCAGTCTGGAGAAGTGAGGGGTTCTCTGCTCTGTGATGCAGCCGGTAGGTGGTTGCCTGGTTTTCTCTTTATAGTAAAGTATGGTGGAATGTATCATTCCTGGCAACCTCAGAGGCAACTTGCTCATGGGTATGTCTGCTGGGCTTCAGATGGATTTTAGCACTGCATCAGCTGTAGAGGAAATGCTGTGCTTTCAAAAGTAACCCGTTTGCATCTGTTATTTTTTCAGATAGCCCAGGGGAAGCATGGGGGAAAATTGAGGGGATGGGGGGTGGAAATCTGTTTCAGATACCAGGACTGGAGGGTTATTTTTATGCTGGGATTTTTTTCTTCTTGAAATTCTGTCCATGGATGTCGTCTGTACCATATTGATACCATATCAGTGTGCAGAAGTGCACCAGCTGAATCTTTTTTACTACTGACCAGGCAGGGTATTTATAAAGCATCAGAGACCAGCAACCAAAGACAGAGCCAACTTATAGATAAGGTATAAAATGGCACTAACTGCGGTAACAGCCAGGCACCTTGTAAGGGGTAAGACGGCACATAAAGAATGAAACACCCAAGTGATGTCGGAGAATGAAGTGACCCTTGAAGGTGTTTAGGAAGATTAAGAGAAAACTTCACTATCTGCCCTAAATTATAGAAAACAAAGTGCATTTGGTCATGGGCTGGAGAGTCTGAATAAATTGATGACACTGATATTTAGTGGAACTTGTCCAGCACCCACAAAGATACTGGCAAAAGAAAATAGGCATTTGCATTAAATGATAAAAGAGAGCAGCACGGGAAAGGATAAGACATCTCAGAGGTGGGCAGAGGAAGAGGTTTGGATAGATATCTCTCTTCTTCTTTGCACGGTTCTTTTGCTTGGGTCCAGTCCCGTTGGCTTCAAGATCAGTTTGGATGGCAACACAACACACACACGGCCCCATCATCACAGTTTACATCCCTGTCTGCAGAGAATAGTAGGATCCTTCTGTTTTCTCTGCCTCAGCGGCAGCCTGTCAAGATGCAAGGACTATGCAGAGACAGATAGTCCTGGGGGCCCGGCAGAGCTGGAGCACAGCTTGGAGGAACTGCAGGTCAGACGGGTATTCAGCAAGTCCCCGTTGAGACAGCATCTTGTAACTCCTCTTCCTTCTGTTTCAGATGTCTTTGCACCAAGTTACGCAGATGATGGCCCAAAAATTAATTCTGAGATCTAAATTATGTGCTATTGGTACACTGGCTGTTGAAGAGCATCCCAAAAGACAGTGGAGAACATGGGCATAACAAAAAGTGCCATCTGAGCTGATGTTACCACGTCCCATTCTGTCTCCCATCTCCTTCTGGCACGTTGTTCACCTTCTCCTCCGCTCCGCTGTGATCTTAAGACATAACTGAGCCATAAACATGTTGGCCTAAGTTAAGAGAATGTTCCTGTCCGGAACAGAATTGATGCACATAAATGAGCTATAAGTTTTAAGCCTGAGCATTGGCTGTAGTGCTTTCCCAAACCAGGGCCACGAGAGGCAACTTAAGGAAGACGTAGATCGAATTTTGTAACGTGGCTGTTGTCAAAGTACTTAGCTAATGAGAGACCAGAAGGCAGCTGTTTCCACACTGTTAGCCTCGTTCATTGGAATAACTTTGTGAATTTACCAAGGCAACAGTTCATAACTGTAAGATCATTTCATCTCTTGTCAGTCTGGTTTTGTTTCCTTTATGCGTTCCTGGTTTTGTGGATTTACAAAACATTTGGAAAGGTTTGTTTTGGACTGAAAAGCAGGGGAAATGTAGGCGCTTAAGAACAGTTTGTTCATATTGTTTGTA